TAAAATTATAACTTATGCCTTAAGACAACTAATACATTATGAGAAGAACTATCTAACCTATGATTTAGAGGTGACAACAATAGTGTTTTTCATAAAAATTCAGTAACATTATCTTTATGAAAATAAATGCCAAATATATATTAATCACAAGAGCTTGAAATATTTTGTTACTTAAAAAAGAATTAAATAAGAGACAACAAAAGATTATGATATTCAATTATCATCCTCCGAAAGTGAATATAGTTATTGATACATCGAGTAGAAACTTAACTAATTTAGCTATCTTATCAATAGTTAAAGGTCCTCTCCATGTAGTTATGTAAAGATTTAAATATAAGATTATCTTTAAATGTTTAATTAGAAGATTGACAATGCTATCACTATAGCTAACCATTTTAGAGAAAATTAAAGAGTTACATGTCAAGGACCCTTCTTTGAATCGATTGAAGTCTGCGATTGAGATAGGGAAAAGAAAAGATTTTTACATTAATAAAGGGGTAATCAAATTTTAGGGTAAATTATGTGTATGAGAAGAGCTTGGTCTAAAATAAGAAATTTTAATAGAAATACTTATCTTTAGACTCAGTGTATCTTAAAACAATTATGTTATATAGGAATCTGAAAGAGAAGCTAAAAATAAAGAGATATTTTATTTAATTTATTAAAAAGTATCTCACATATCAGCAAATCAAAATAGAACATTATAGACTAGTAGGTACCTTAAATCTATTGCAAATATCCCAATGAAAATAGAAAGAGATCGATACAGATCTTGTATAGGGTTGCTTATGACTAGCAAAGGACATCAAATTTGGGTTTTTATGGATATATTGACTAAGATAGCCCACTTCCTACCTATGTGTGCTATATATTCCATGGATGAATATGCTCAATTATATATCTAGATAATAATTAAACTCCTTAGTGTGCCCGTGTCCACTGTGTAAGACAGAGACTTCATATTCATATCAAGATTTTGGAGGAGTTTTCATAATGCACTGAGGTCAAAGTTTGCTTTTAGCATTGCTTTTTCATTCTCAAACAAATGGTTAATAAAAAAGAATCATTCAAATATTATAGGATATGTTAAAAGATTATGTCATGAACTTTAAGAGATCATAGAACAAATATTTATATTTGATAGAGTTTGCCTACAAAAGTAGTTACCAAACAACTATTGAGATGACATCATTTAAAGCAATATATGACCAAAAGTGTAGGTCACCTTGGGATGAGATGAATGAAAGAAAATATTTAAGGCTAGATTTGGTAAGAGAAATAATAGAAATAGTAGAAAAGATTCGCTAAAAGATGAAGCCAGCATAATACATATAGAAATATTATGTCGATAATAGGAGAAAATATTTGAAATTTGATATATGCGATAAAATATTCTTAAAGGTGATACTAATAAGAGTTATGAGATTTGAAAAGAAAGATAAGGTAAGTCCTCGATATATATATATAGGACTATATGAAATTATTGATAAAATTAGTGATGTGGCCTATAGACTAGCCTTACCTTTTACATTAGCAATGGTGCATAATGTATTCTATGTATTAACATTGAAGAAGTATATTTCAGATCTTTCTCATATTCTGGAAGAATAATTAATAGAATTAGATGAAGATTTAACATAGAAGGAATGAGTTATACAAATTCTTGATAAAAATGAGATAAAACTTCGTAATAAGAAGATTGCTTTAGTCAAAGTGTTACGAAGGAATCACGTAATAGAGGAAGTAACCTGAGAAAGAGAAAAAGGGATGCAAGAGAAATATCTAGAGCTATTCAGATAAAAAATTTTGAGGATAAAATTTTTATTAGGAGGGAAGGGTTGTAGTGCCCGAGTCTCATACACATTAAATTACAAGTAGTATGCTAGTAAAAATAAAAAAAATATGTATATATTATCCTCACTTAGTGATATGATTTGTGATGTCTATGCTTCATAAATATAATAAATGATGCTCATATTTTTTACTTTTAAAGTTAAACTACATGCTCCCTAAAATATATTATTCATGATGTTCTATAAAACTTTAATTGAGTATACATAAGCATCAATATCTACTTTAAGAATATTTTATAGCACGAAGGCATAGCCCTTCGATGCATCAAGAAGTGTGCTAACAAACTTTAATATAATGTTAAGTTATGGTAATAAGTATGCAAATAGTGGCTAGAAGTGGTAGTTGAATTTTAAGTTTGATCATGATTAAAGTAAAAAAATTTAAGTTTTAATATATATATATATATATATATATATATATATATATATATATATATATATATATATATATATATATATATATAAAGTAACTACCTATATATATTATCCTATATATATATATACAGGATAATAACTACCTAGGCATGGATGGAGTATTGAAAAACTAAATGAAATTATAAATAAAAAAGAGTATTATATTAAAAATGTTGAGATACATAAGTAAGATTGAATGATATATTTAGAGCAAAAATATCATCTTTATCAAACTAAATTATAATCAATTGAAGTTGCTACAACCTTATAATTATATTAGTAAAGGAAGAAAAGAAAAGAAAAGAAAAACTTGAAATAGGGTCCAATGGGATTAAACACTAGGCCTCAAGGTAACCTCTTAAGCACCTCTATCTTATTTTAACATTATCCTCTTTTACTAATCAAATAACCTATAACCCTTTCTCTTATTCTTTAGATATTCTCTTAACTTTTCTCATGCATGTTAGGAAACCCCAACTCTAAAGAAGGTTTATGTAAGAAAAACTTAATCTTTCCTTGCTATACTTAGGATTTCAATTTTATAGATTATAAATTGATATTTTCAATTACTTTTGAGTAATTTAAACTTTAAATTTATATTTAATTTTTTTAATATATTTTAAATATCTTATTATTCTAAAGTTTTTGGTATGACTTTAATATAAGATAGGTACATAGAGTTATGAGTGTCCCAATTTGAGATTCTCAAATTGATATGTAATGCATGTATATACTATAACATGTGGTGAATGAGTATATATATATATATATATATATATATATATATATATATATATATATGTTATGATACGAGGTATAGAAATTTATGAATTCACTATTTCTTATATGTGCATATAAGCATTCTGAATTATAGCGTTATACTTACTAAAGAAGTAATAGGATGAAAGGATTTACCATTAAGTATCTTCTGTCGATGATTTTAAAATATTATATATAAGGTATAATACATTCTCACTTAAATAAAATTATAAAGGTTTATACTTACTGAGTGTTTACTCACTATAAACCCTATTTTATAGACAAAGATACTAATACCCTATTGATTAGGTCAAAAAGTGAGCATATGCGAGCCCATGCTAGTACTGATATGGACGATGACCTATAAGCATTTGTTTGTATATAACTTTTGGACATGTTATGTAGATTTTTTTTTCTTCTTTTGGTTAGAGGTTATAATTACGTACGGGTGTCAAAATCATTGTGTATAGGAGGAACCTTATAATTTTGTTTAGTAAAGTAAATTAATATATTTTATTTTTAAGATTGCATACTCCTTGATAGCAATAAAAGAATTGAAAAGTGATATTATATTTTAATCATGCATATAAGGTATAAGCGGGATTAGAATAGGGTGTTAGAACATGAGACCCTGGATGGCACATTGGACAAATCAAAATACTCATAGTGCAAGTCAACTGAGTCATCTTGGTCAAGCACCGCAAGTGACATCTTTTGTTATAAGTATTTAATGATCCAATATTCATATTGCATTGAGAATAAAAAAGTTAAAAATTAATTTTTACTTTATCCTAACATCAAGTTAATAGTAATATATTTATCTATTTTTAAAAAAACTAATTTAATTTTTTTTTTCTTACTTCCAATAGGTGACCAAACTAGAGGTGTTAGAATTAGTAGGCCTTATGTTACATATGATGTTTAGCTTGATAGACCAATTGCCATACAACTCAAAATAATTAAGCCTAAATTAATAATAATACATTAAATTTTATAAATTAATTTTAATTTTTTTTTCATTTCAGATGTGAAATTAAATTAAAGGTATTCTAATCTCGTCCATTCAAAGAATTAACATCTTTATCATTGTCTAAAGGTAACTTATAATCATTCTGAGTATAATTCTTCATGCTCATTATTATATTGACTTTAATATCATTTATCAATATGATACGATAATTATCCTTTGACTTCAAAATTTTATGACCACATGTCCAAACGTTCATCAAACCAAATCAATTCAAATTTCTTTTTGCCTTTGATTTATGAATAAACCGAGAGTGTTGTTACACATGAGTACTTCAAAATAGTGACCATCTTTCTTCCTCCCCGCAGCTTCTTTTCTTCGGGTTTCTCCAATACGAAGAAACCATGCAGGATTCGTGGTACCACTTGTGTTGAGTGAGGGAAAGGGAGTAAATGTGCACGATTCACGGTATAGCTCATTTGGTGAATGATGTGGGAAAGTAATCCGTGGTCTTGTAGCATGGTAACTATGCCGAGCACACGTGAAGCACGTGTGGAGGTGATTCGTGGTGCCGCTCGTCTGGCATACTGACTATCCTGAGACGTGTGAAGCACGTGTTTTCTAACATTTATGTTCTCTTTATTTATCCTTTTTTTAATCATAAAAATCCCTTATTCTATTTATTTATTGTCAGCGGCCCAACCTCTTTGTCTGTCTGTCCTTTCGTCGATTCAGAATGAAACCAGCAAGAAAAATAAGATAAAATAAAATCTAATAAAAAATAAAATAATAAAAATAATTTGTAAAATACTTCTCATTTTCAATCTTATTATCATTTTTGGGCTACACTTTGCCTTCTTATCTTTTGACAAATTCTTGCAAAATGCCCAACAAAAATGATACATATACTGCCAGAACGAATAGAAACTGTTCAGGACGTTGCAGCGTCCTTCGTTGCTATATTAACCTTGTGCCTCGATTCCTTCCGACACTGTAGAGATATAAAATTGTTATCAAGACATATCTCAGCTTTATTATGATTATAAATGCATGTAATAACACTGATAATTGAATTTCTGGATCGATCAAAAAGTAGATCCAGCAACAAATAGGTATGGCTAATTAATCCCCGATACAAATTTAACTTTCTAGCAGAAGTTCCTTTCTTACCAGTAAGATAAAATCTATCTGCCCACCCAGCCAAGTATTGAATATATACACATCACTTTACAGCCTCCATCTCATCATCGTCGTTCATATCATGGTGACTCCATCCATCCGTCTTGATGTTGCCTCGATCGTACATCTCTTTGGTTTGCATGTGATTCTTGACAGTCTTTGTATCCAGCGGTACCAAGTTTGGTCTTGTTCGTTTTGGAAGTTTGGCAGGAGGCATCAGCAGTGTCAGATTGGGTTTGCGTCTTTTAGAATTCTTGCCAATACCACCCTTTGTGGTGTATGCATCTTGATTACTAGGTTCATCAATGGTCTGGTCGATAGAAAGAGCAGATTTGCGATTTTCTACTGGATTGTGTCCAGGATGCTCCTTTCTCAAATGGAGGTTCAGTTTATATTCATGGATGTAGGCTTTCCCACAACCTTCATATGGACAAGCAAAACGACGCTCAGCAGAGGCAGAAACATAAGCAGTAGCAGCAGACTTAGAGGTATTATGGGGCTTATCCGAGGCTGGCTTGCGCTTCACCATTTCCACTGTAGTAACCTATGGAGTAAGGAAATAACCAGAATTAGCTATATCCCATAAATCTATAATTAATTAGGCTGGACAAGCCAATCATAAAAGTTTGCACTTTTATGAAAGCATTTCTTATATCTTTGTTCTCCATTTCCATCTATATTTATTGTTGATCAACACCAATTTAAACCTTTTATTTGTTTTAGACCAAAAATAACAGGAATATTTTCCTGACAATTAGACAAAAGAAGGAAAAAAAGGCAGCATGAAAAAAAAGAAAGAAACGAAAACCAAATCACTCCAAATGTTATTTGAATCAGTGTCAAAATAATAATAATGGAAAATATGATAGTTGAAAATTTTAACATAGGTTGCTGTAGTTGTTTTATGTATACCAAAAATAATGGAAAATATGATAAACCAACGCCTAAATGCTTTGGAAGAGGGATATGATATGAAATTTTAGTGAAGGTCAAGAGGCAAACCTCTTTGAAAGAGTACATACTCCCATATTCAGTTGTAAGGAATCTGTTTCAGAGAAGATAACTAACCTAACTGAGGTGCAACTTGGATGAGATCGAAAGAACAATAGATGGACTTAGTGGAAACAACTTAATTTACAACTTAGTTGTTATGTCAAAGAATGGTCCATTTACAAAGTTTCTCCAAGATCTTAGTGGAGACAACTCCAAATTTTACAAACAATAATGTCATATATCAATAATTGATAAGAGATTCTTGATAATCTTTTTGTTTTGTTTGTAGTTTGCATGTTCGTGAACAAAACACATTACGTAACAGCAATGCAAATCAATTAAAAGAATCAATTAATGGTGTCAGCCTTGCTAATCAAGATTGATGTGATCTTGCATAACAGCTCAGAAAAAGGTACGTAATATGAGGAGGTTAGACATCTAGCAGGCGAATTCAGGACTTGTTCACCAAACAAAGCAAGAAGCATGTTGCAAAAAACAGGTACTGATAATAAACTTTTAGGATACACAGGATGATATACCTTTTCATGGTGTGCCTTTAGGTGAGATTTTAACTTGCTTTCATGGGTGTATTTCTTCCCACATTCCGGGTAAGGACAAACATGATAGTTCTCCAGTGAATGTGTTTTCATATGTGACTTCAAGTTGAAATCCAATGAGAAGGCCTGCAATTACATACCTTTTGTTTAATCATTTTATTTTAAAAAGGTTACTCTAAAACAAAATTAACACAGTAATATCAGTATTACAATAATATAAAAATGATATGAAATTACAAAATAAAAGTACATATGTGATATGAACCAGATCATGGTAAACTACAATTACCTTACCACAGCCTTCATGTGGGCAAACAAACTGTCTTTCACCAGTATGTATCAGATAGTGCCTCTTCAACTTTGAACTGTCTACAAATTTCTGCAAAATTTAAGATTAATTTTTAGGAGGCTCAAGTAGCTACTTTTGTGCAGTTTCAGTCATCTTCAATCAAATAATCAATAAAATAGGACAACTACTGAATTAACCAAGACAATCACTGATATGTGGAACAGTGTTGATTATCTAGAGATGGCATCGCAGAAGTTTGTCTTTCACAATTCTCAAAGTAGGGTGCATATCTTCTTGCTTTAATAATTGGAGTGAGTGCGGCTAACAATCTTAAACTGAAGGTATCAATCCTCAGCGATGAAACCACAAGAAAGAAACGAAGAAAGAGACAATGTTGCTCGGAAAGTATGTGATAAAAGAAAATGTGAACAGAAACAATTGGAATGTCATAAATTCAGAACAAAGTTCCATCAAATATTCAACTGCACCTTGATTTTGGTGCCTTCTTCTTTCAATATGGGCTTTGACCAACATATACTATGGTACACAAAGTAGCAAAAAAACGAAAGCAACCAAAAGAGGGAAAAAGGAGAACCAATTACCTTCCCACATCCCTCGTATTGACAAACATGTTGCTTCTCTCCATGAGTGTGTGTATGTTTCTTTAAAGCTCCAAACTCGATGAAAGCTTTCCCACAACCTTCATAGGTGCAGAGGTAGAGTGTCTCTGTTCTTGGTTCAGGTTTTTGCTCTTCAGCAACTGAATCCTTGGACTTGTCTTCCAGAGCTTTTAACATTCCCTCTAGTAACAAACAATGAAGGATCAATTATCTAATTGATATAATTATCATCAATGATTAAGTTATGCTTCACTGCTGAATTAGCAACTAACAATCATACAGATTCCTTGAGCATGTTCATATGGACTTCTACTTGATCAACAGGGGTTCAACATCTATACCTCCACAAAGCTAAAAAGAAGTCAAAATTGCGAACTTTTCCAATCAGGCACACTAATATCAGCAGTTGTGTGGTAGATATTCCCAGAAAGTACGCATTGGTACTGGAAAAAGACTTACACACCACTTTATGCATAGTAAAAAGAGGACTCAACAGCTACACCCTCAAAAGAATGAATTATCAAAAGAATTTAATAGAAATCATATTCACGAACTACATCCATCATGGTAATTAAACTTCTAACATGAACCACATCATAGCAATGAATCTCTTGCGCTGAAATATCTAAAACCTCCATTAGATGAAATAGAGATCATGCCAAACATGGAAAAGGCAAATGAAGTGAAAAATAGAACCATACCTGTGACCCACTTCAACAAGTGGCACTTCCCACCTGTAGCAACCACATCCTGCGGAACCCTAAATCAAGCAACAAGAAACGAACAACCTTTACCAAAACATCCAAATGGATCGGATAAAATTAACCAAGCAGGGACTACAATTATCCACTTGCTATTACACCGCGTCATCAACTCGGAAACAATAACGCATTGCAAGATCAGAAAGAGAGAGGCACCATCGTTTGAACCACCGGACGGCAGTGGGGCGGCCTCTAGCGGAGGCGATGGAGCGCTTCTCCATCGCACGGCGATCTCCTTGTGGAGCCGATGGCAAGGGCGGATGGGAGGAAGGGGCCGGCTAGGGCTTGGATCGGAAGAGCAATAGGGGGAATAGGGGAGGCTGGATAAGACAACCGCTGAAGCGGATAGCAAATCCGAGTGGAGATGGGGTGTTATAAGAGACGGGGGCAAAGGGATAATAGCAAGAGGGAGAGGAGGAGATATATTGTGGAATTCAGCATACGGGGAAGGAAAGGTCGCCATGGTTCCGCTATCGCACCTCCTCCCGGTATGGTATGGTACCCGATTCCTGCTCCGACTCCTGATAAGGGACGTAGTTGGAGTATTTCTGAAACACCCGACTGCCTCCCTCATTATAATAACAGCAGATTATTATTATTATTATTATTATTATTATTATTATTATTATTATTATTATTGTGATTGTTGTTGATGATTAAAACGGAAAGTTCAGTCACCTTTGGTCAGCTTTTACGTCAGCAAAATCTATGGGCCCGACTCCCTGATTCTCCAAAAACAACCATTAGCTGTTGCATCAGCAAAATCCAATCGGCCAAATTCCCCAAAATCTACCAGAACCAGATAACCTTTCGGTTCCCTCAAAATTAGTTTAAAGTTATCAGCTATACAATTGTAACTCGAATGGTCCCTAATACCATGCATACGTAATAGAGAGTAGTAAAATCTTTTTAAATAAAATTAATTACATTCATAGCATCCATTCGTATTCATATATTCTTTAGGTTTCCTATGACTCTTTTTAAACCATCCATTAATGCCAAACCTTTCCCACCAAGCCAGAATATTATCATCGATAAATCAACAGCTAGAGAAGGGTAACCATACTGAAGAATATAATTAAAGGTTAAGGTTCATTTTAATCATGTGATTTTAGTCATGGATCTATATTTTTAAAAACCCTTAAACCTTTATGATTTATTTGTATATAAAATAAGCTCTATATTTTTAAAATCATAACATATAAACTCCTCGTTAATTCTAAGTTAATAGATGTTAGAATCTGCTTGTGTAGCATACTAATTCATAATAAATTATTAATATAATAACACATATAATTTAGGATTAAAGTTCATTTCAACCCTTATGGTTTTGGTCATATACCTCTTATGTCCTTATGGTTTACTCGTGTCTAAAATATCATCTATATTTTCAAAAATATAGCATATAAGTCCCTCCCATCAAATATGAGTTAATAGACGTTAGAGTTTGCTTACATAGCATATTGACTCACAATAAACTATTAATATAATGGTACGTATAATTTAAGCTTAAAAAAAAAACTGAGACCTCCATCAATGGTAGGAGATGTCATCGTGGAAGCGACAATTAGTAGTAGCACCGAGCTGCTACTGCTTGGTAGGGCATCGTATGTACACAACCTCTCCCGAGCCAACGATGAGCTCAGAAGCTTCCAATTCTGCCTCAGGTGAATGTGTGTCGATTAGTCCGACACTAAGCACGTAGTAGCCTTTTAGTCTCTCTTCCTCCTCCTAGGCATCTTTGTCCCTATCACCTCTTACTTTATTCTCTCCTATGCCTCCACTCGGATGTCACTCGTCAGCTCCAAGACGCATGCCACCACATCACCCACCATAACGTTCCTCGCCATCATAAATGGCACTCACTCCGATCCTGATGAGTACTATCATACCTTATAAGCTATCTCCCTCACGAAGCACAACATTATGAAGACGGAGAGCAGGTGAAAATAGTGGTTGAGTTAGTCCATGTAGCCCTCCCGCACCTACTCTCTCTCCCTGATTAGCTTATCAAGGAAGAGGAAGTAGCGAAGGCCATAACGACAGACGAAGGCGGAGAGGCAGAGGTAAGAGAGGTTGGAGGCGGAGGTGAGGAAAAGTTGGACCACCATGTCATAGGTGCAGTGGATGGGGGTGCAAGAAAGGATGAAGTGGGAGGTGGTGAGAATGAAGATGCCCAAGAGGAGGAAGAGGGACCAAGAGATTACGTCGACGCACATCCACCTGAGGGAGGATCGGAAGCTCTTGAGCTCATCGTAACGTGGGAGAGGTTGCGTGTGTACGATGTCCTGCTATGTAGTAGTGGTTCGATGCTGCTGCTAGTGGTCGCTTCCACGATGATGCCTAGTCTCGCCATTGATGGAGGTCTTAGTTTTTTTTAAACTTCAGTTACATGTGTCATTATAATAATGGTTTATTGGAAGTCAATATTTCATATAAGCATACTCTAACGTATGTTAACTCTGACTTAACGGGAGAGGCTTATATGCTATGTTTTTAAAAATATATGGGTTATTTTAGATACGAGTAAATTATAAAGGCTTAAAATGTCCATGACTAAAATTACAGGAGTTAAAATGAACACTAATCCTAAATTACATGTCTCATTATATTAATGATTTATTATGAGTCAACGTGTCATGAAATAGATTCTAACATCTATTAACTCAAACTTGACATGAGGGACTTATATACTATATTTTTTAAAATATAAAGATTATTATTTTATATATATAAACAATAAGGGTTTAAGAGGTCCATAACTAAAACTACATAGGTAACAAAGACTGATAGAAGCATTATCAGTGCAACAAGAATGATTGATGTTGAAGTGGCATCCAAGCTAAACTTAAATTGGGAGTGACATCCGATTACCATATTACCTCCAAACTTATTTCCAAGCAACAATACTACTAATCTCATATATTGGTAAGCACCACAAGCACATTAGTAAAGGCTATCTCATTTCCATGAAATACCATATGGGATTATATAAATAAATATAAATTAGTTTTTTTTTTTCTCAACTAAAGGATGTGATAGAAAATAATGACAAGTAAATAATCTAACGAAACATTAGATCCATCTAGCATCTTTTTAATATCACACATTAGTCAGACAACCATTTTATGATAGCATCAACTCATTAGTATTAGTGTGGATATCGATTCACCTTGACACACTTGCCAAGAACTCCTAACTTCAACCTAAGCCAACATGCAGTTATCATAACATCTCTAAGATTGAATAATGATCGATAATTTCACATAACTGTTTTGCATAACTCTTTGTTTTATTGCAATGGTTACCAATCTCATTCTAAAAGGATTTCAAGTACATTAGTTAGTTCATTTAAAACGAATATTCTATATTTTATTTCTTAAATCCTCTAGCTCTACCAATTTAAGTGTCAAATGGGCCTTTTGTGGGTATACCTCCGATGCAATTTTGGAGGATCTAAGTTGTATCTAAATCCCTGATGTGTTGATCAACCAAAATTTAACATAGCAGATTAGGGCTAGAAGTAAGGCTCAACATATTATAAGATAATTAAATCATAACTTCATAAGCATATTTGAAGGACCTTGCTTTCTTGATCTTGACTTCGGTTTCGATGATGGGCATTAGTATTTAGATGCATTTATAATTATTTGATGATTGTTCCTCCACCAATCAATACACCCACCATCACCATGATCATAAAAAACTTCATGATTCAGCAAGTTTAAACCTTGACTAGAATGATATATACCATCATACTTTTCCTTCCACAATTAGTATAATTCATGCAATAGGGAGGCCAATAATGCTTCTATTATAGGTTATTTCCAATATCACTATTGATTCTTAATCAATCTTGCCAAAGGCTCCTTGTGAGGTACTTTCCCCTTATCACTTTCTAAGAGAGGAATTGCCTCTCGTTGTGAAGGAGTAACTCTTTGAATTGATCAATGCCTTAAAGACTAAGGCAAGATATAAAGTAGAGAAAGGAACCCACATAGTACAAGCCATGCATGTGATCCCCATTTATGCAAGACATTAGAGTTGAGTTAATTCATTTAAGCATTCCACCTACCTACTCTGAAACCCCTGAGGAAAGCTCGAACTCTACTAAGCATGTCATGACTTTTGTGTCTCAAATTGCCTATATACAAAATGCACACTCATGTGTTAATCTTGCCCAACATCTTTGTATGGTGTGGTTTGAGTATGGTACACATGCCTCGCCTTAAACTCAATAAGTTCTTTTAAGTAACTCAGTAGTGAGTTCAAGCTTAACTATATTAACTATTAGCTACCAAAGAGGTCTAAAATATTTACAGCCTGATAAGAAAAAGATAGTTCTCATCCTAGCCTTCGTTACTAGCCTCTACCAATTTTTATTTTAGTTGATTGCTAAAAATTCATTGATCACCTATCTAGAGTTCCTACAAAAAGTCAAATAAATATATTGTAGTTGAATCCCTAGTCGGGAGGAAGAAAATAAATAAAAAAAACCAACTAAAGAAGAAAATCCCTCTCAATCAACCATAAAAAAAGCTCCTCATGGAGTCCACATGCTACCAATAAGGGATTTCTCCTTAACTTATGAAGTCTCCTAGCATGAGAGATAAGACAAAGTATTATTAGTTTCATAGAAATTATAATCATGATAATTATAGATTATTATAATTTGAAACTATAAATTGAATAGCTAACCAAATGGGGGTATCTCGATTGTTACTTAAGCAAAACTCGAAAAGAATCTCGTTGCCCTCAAGGTCCCATTAAGTGACAAGTTGACATAGTAACCTCCATAAAGATATCTAGCCTTAAGGGGAGGCAATAATGTAGGCCACAAATTCTATGAAGGAGATATCTAGAGAAATACATAGATTCCACAAAGATCTCGAGATATCTTCGGGGAAGAAAAGATATAACTGATACTGCAACTATGACAATAGATTAGTTGTCTCTATTAGGATCTTGAATGTTTTATTCAAGTAGATCTTGATCAACATGGTGAGTTTGGTCAATATCTATAATTCAGATATTCTTAACAATAGAAGAGATAATTTGATCTTAGATGGTATTACCCAACAAATACAACGGAAGTGGGTTGATTTAAGCTATCTCAAGTTGGTTGTATCACCCTTGTTGACTACTTTGATAGCTATATTGAGCATTCCTTGATTGATTTTAAACAGTCTCAAGTGTGACCTGGATGGCTAGGGAAGTGTTGGGCAATATACAAAAAAATTGCTACAACTTTTTAGGAGACCCAAAGTGTGAAAGTGGATTGTGGATCAATTGTCATATCCCAGATTTTTTGTTTTCAAGATCATATCTTTCCATACATTTAGAGCCAAGTAGATAAATATCATTTTATTCATTATTTATTATAATTTATTTATTCATCAAATCATAAGTAGAAAGGTAAACATAGTAATGTTAACTCGAAGAATCATCCAAGTGGCTCTACCTAACGGTAGAGGAAGGTTTGCTTTCCATTGGAATCCGATTTAGTACTAGTGGGAAGCTGCTCTGAAAATCAAAAATAAAGAAAATTCAGTAATGCTGAGTAGGAACCCCAAAAGTCAACTCAAAATGAATACATGATCAAAAATCAATCATCTCATTGGCGTATATTAAATACCCGAAGGAGCACTCCCCCAACAACGGATGAAGATGCTTTATCCTACAAGATGAGTTTGTGTTCTTCCAATAGCGGATGGAGGCAAACTATATCACACTCCCAATAGTGGATGGAGTGGTGTCACTCACCCACCAAAGTAGGGACACGTTCCTCCCAATAGCAGATGGAGGAATCGTCCAGCCGCTATGTTTGACGGTCCGCTAATCCCCGAAGGGAATCGCCCTACCTGCCCTCGCATGGAATAACATAATGTCACACTAGTCATGTCTATATCGGGATGAAATAATATATTTAAATCATCTCTTTCAAATATCATCAATATCAAATAATACAAGTTAGTCCTCAATTGACTTGAACCATAGTTCAATCGATCCAATTAAACTCGATTTACTAGAACCTAACCGAAATAATCTCTAATCCTCATTTAACTGATCTGGAATCACCAGAGACTAATATAATTTAGGTTATATTAGATTCAAATTAGATAAAAGTGACGATAAAGAAAGGATTAGGATGGTATGCCAAATTGGATATGATTGATGATAGATGCATCATAAAAGCAACAAGAGTCATCTTTATAAGTGAAAACTTTGAATGCTATATATTCATATAGGAGATCATTCGATAATCATCTAGCTCGATAAATACTGTGATAGAATTAAAATGAATCTGAAATTTGTTGAAGTCAATAATTCAAAAAGAATATATCTTGAATATCCCAATACACAAGGTTTAGGAAGAATATACTTTATTATAGAATTATTCTGAGGAGATGTGTAACAAAAATTCAGGGAGCACATGTGTTTTCAATTCTAGATTTGATAAATAAAATGATAAATTCCGTGGATTCTATATCAGCTTTGCTGGAATGATTCACTCCTGTAATGTAGGCACATTATAGGCCTAGATGGATATCATACAAGTTATACATCAAAAGTTGTACTATTGATTGCTATGAGAAGTGACCCAAATAATCAAATATTTTCATTTGCATATACAATAGTTGAGAGGGAGAACAATAATATATGGAATTGGTTCATCTTCTTACTTGTTAGGGATTTGAACATCTCAATCAGTGGTTTAGATGAGTAGAGGCCATTGCACATTTGCTTCATGACGCCAAACGCAGATACTGTTTGAAACATTTATACAACTTCAAGGAGAAGTTGTGAGAACTATAAGAGTACATGATTTTAAATAAGCAGCTAATAAACATAATATCGATACAAGTAATTGGTTGTAGAACTCACAAAAAGTATTTAACATGAAGCAAATCACGGTTTTGCTCCATCTAATAAGTCCTAGTCACAAATCGGATATCATAATAACATAATCCATTCGACGTTCCAAAGGGAGAGTGGAGCTGACTTGACATTATATAGAAGAATTTGTTGATTCCAAGTCATTTGTTGTAAATCCTAAGACAAAAAATTTGAGGCAAAATGTTGAGTCGAGATCATTCAAAACAACATCGATGTTGCATGGGTCTTATATCGTGGAAGCACCATTTTGTCCTTCACTTAATCCACAAATCGGCATGTGACATCATATGCACCACCCTTCGTAAAAATACAAACGGTATTATCAAAAACAGAGTCATTATATATATATATATATATATATATATATATATATATATTAGGATCAAGTTTACACTAATCGAGGGAGGTTTAAGTCAATCAATTCAGAATAATCGATCTATACTAATCAAGCCCAGTTTAGTTCAATCAATGTTTGAGCTTAAATCCAACAATAATATTGGGCTAGGTAGGGTGAGCTCATATACTAGTCATATGCACTACACATAACTGGGCATGCATCACACCAGGTTGGCCCAGCCTTGGCCCATGGACTGGTCATGTGCGTCGCATATGATTGCTCATGATGGTTGGGCTAGGGCTTGACTCGTGAGTTGGGTTTAGCCTATAGGTTAGGCCTAGTCTATTAACTGGGCTTAGCCAGTGGATTGTGGCCTAACCTATGGGTTAGGCCGGACCTACGAGCGGTTTCAACCCAACTCCTATCCAATTTCATACCCGAACATATATTCACTAACATACATATATATATATATACACACACACATGATAACACATTAAAAGAAGATTGGGAGATAAGCTTCGATACAAGGAAATAATCTTCTAAATTCAACAAGAATTAGAAATCATACTTTCAACATACGTATAATTTCAACGTACTCTAGTAAAATAAATTTTAAACCATTCAGAATAACATATTTTAAATTTCAGATCAAAGAATATTAAAAATTTTATATAACATATTTTAATCTAATAACAAAATTTTAATCCAGATAAGATTAAAAAATAAGTTGTAATACTATGAAATATCATATATTTAATACATAAATCATGTAAATTTTTATCATGTTTAAATCTAAAAAAAAAACTTAAGTAGGGGTCCAAGAATATTATAAAAACTTCAGTTCATAGATTTTAATATAACAACAAAAATTTTGACGGATTAATAAATATTTTCAAACTATAAAACTTTCAACATTTAAAGAATTAAAATAAAAACTAAAACTTTTATTTCAAGAAAAGTAGAGAAATTTATCTTAATTTTTATATTTATTTAATATGAATTATTTCTGTTAGGATCGAGTTGGCACTGAGAGGGGAGGGTGAATTAGTGCTTTCGTTAAAATCATCGATTTGAAAAACTTGTATTCGATGAAAAATTGTATCAGAAAGATGTTAACTTAAAAGTGTACAGAAGCGTAATGAATAAGTAAGTAAAACAGTGTGCAATGAAATTAAAGTGTTTAAAGTAAATGCAAACTAAGTTTTATAGTGGTTCGGTTGTCGTGACCTATATCTACTCTCGATTTTTCTTCCGTCAAGGCCACCGGCATCTACTAACGGTCTTCCTTTAATAGGCAAAGACCAATCATCTTCTTACAACTCTATTCTCCTTTTGATAGGCTCAGGAGAGAATCTGTATACCCCCACTCGCTCCTCTCTAAATAGAAATCACACTTAGACTAGAGGAGGAAAACTCTCATAAGATTATAACAGAATTTTCCCTTATTTTTGTTCTCAGTTCTTGTGTTTCTGAACAGGGATGAGAGGGGTATTTATAGGCCTCAAATGGATTCAAACTTGGAGCCTAAAAGTGTCTCATCCCCAGTTTTCGGGATATTAGCGGTACCACCACCTATGTTGGGCGGTACTATCGCCTGCAACACTAACACTGGACGGTACCATCACCCAGTCTAGTGGTACCACCGTTTGATAGAGCCTCGGAGACTGGGCTCTAGCGGTACCACTACCTGACAACCTTTATACCACCGCCCAAACCTCCATTGAGGTTGAGCCTCAAGCGGTGCCACCACTTGCCATGGTTCCAAGTGGCCAAGTGGGCCTTCCATTTGGCCCAACTTTGATTTACTTAGTCCCAATGGCTCCCTAATTGAGTTGGCCTAATTCCAACTCAATTAAATCTTAATACTATTTCCATCTAATCAATTATTACAAAGTGTTAATCAAATATTTTCCGGCATGTCATTGGTTTATCGACACTTTGTCCAATCCTTCGACGTATCCTCCTCTTTTGCGACATTTTGCCCAATCGGCATATTGACCTCCGCAACTCCAATCTCCCTAGCACAATGTTCATTCTTCTAGGCCTGATGCCCGAACTTATGGCACAAAGTCTTCTACCGATATGTCAACCGATCCTCCGGCTCGATGTCCAATCTTTTGACATGTTTCAGGCCTAATATTGATTCTTCCTGTTTTAACTGTCTCTTCATGATCGAAGCTAGTTCTGTGTTACTCAAAAACGCAGATTAGATCAGACTCTATCAATTAGTTTCATCATCAAAATTCGAGATTCAACAATTTCTATTTAATATACTAACAAATATAATATCATCCTATTTGGAATGCTTAATAGTCATTTCCTAATGACAAACAAGGAAACAAGATTAATATTTCCTAAATTACAATAGTAAATAAGAAAATAAAATTTAATTTCTAAATTAAATATTTGAATTGATTTCATCGATAACTTTCATATTCCCAAATTGGCCCTTCAGAATAAGAGGATTAACTTATACTTGATAATAGGATTAATGATTTGCGTATAAATGTGGTTCTTGCTAAATATAGAGATGTCTCTCCTTGGCATGCTAAATACAACTTGGCCATTGAGGCTGAACCCATTTACATTGCATCTCAAATTATTTACACATTGACAGGTGTCTCATGTCATTTGTTCTATCAATAGTTATTATACAACAACTATAAGACAGATTTTAAAGAGCATAAAAAGAAGGACAAATTAAAGAATAGGAGAAAATCTATCTGTAGACCTGTGATGCTTTGATCGTGATGTAGGTACCACTAAAAGGCATACAATTTATGAATTGAGGCCACAAATCACATTCTTACTATGATCTGGCATTCCTTCCACCTTTCCTGCTTATCAACTCACACAATCTGCACGGCAGCGTATCGATGCTGGCGGCACGAGTCTTCCCATAGTTGCCCATCACACCACATCTCCTCCAAGAATGGTACTCTGCATAAGCAATCGGATCATCTGCTAGTTCTTTTACATAGGATGCCAGTTCCTCTAGAGAACTAAACTTGGACCCATCTATTATAGAATGTGGAGGGACAAAATCCCACACATTTGGTGCACCAAAATATATGGGCACTGCACCAGAATCCAGGGCATAGTAGAGCTTCTCTGTTATGTAGCTCTCGGTTATGGTGTTCTCGATGGCAAGCACAAACTTGTAATGTGACATGGCACAATGCAGGTGGTCCCACCAATGAGGTACTAGGTTCTCACTCATGGAACACTCGGGATAGAGAGAAAGTGCCGCATCAGGACCCCCAACGTTGTTCAGGCATTCACCAAAAGAATGGTGAAAGATGAGGGAAAGGAATCTTTTTGCAAGTTGGTTTCGTTGGGGAAGACACCTTGAAGAAGACCAATAAACAAGGACGTCCTAAAAGGAAATGAAAAAAGTGAGAAAATATTATCATTTTCGATGCACGTTTAAAAACCATTTGTCCACGAAAATTTACAGAATAAAATGGTAGCTCATATGGGGAAATGATGTTTACGAGTATTGGTCCTGTGAAAACTGCTGCTACCACTATGTGCTATATCTTTACTTGGTAAGTACGTATGTCATGAAGCACACTGTCCACAAGTTTCAGGCATGCTCTACACAAATGCATCCTACCCATGTCTATTACCAAGTGTTTAGGTGTTCATAACAAGCATCAATTTTCAGGCATGCAAAGATATAAATGCTCCAATTGTTGCTTGGCACAGAACCAAAGTTGAGCAAACAGAAAAAGCCAGTGTACAGTATAGCTATAAGGATGACCAACTATGACAAGATGTAGGTTGCAAATCTTTACGACACTATTAGGATGAGAAATAACATCAAGAATAGTAAAAGAGGTGTTTGTGAAGTCTGAATGATAACTCACATTTCTTTTCTGAGATGAAACATGGTAATTTCGGCTCTTGTGAAACAGAGTCCCTGCATATGTGGATTGCACATCATCCTTGGCATGATAACCAATAAATATGTCTTCGAAACCCGAAGGTTTTCTACTGGCCTCAAGATCCATATAAACACGTAGTGGATCACCTTTTTTCCTCTGGTAAAACAAAGGTAAACATAAGTTGCATAAGGGTACTAGAAATCTAGAAATGTACAAAGCTCATAAATATTCTTGCATATCAAGTGCTCAACATGAATATGTTGCCGTATACAGCAGCAAAGATGCATTAATTGTTTTGTACTAGATTTGAGTAAAAAATATTTCAGCCCAATACATGAGTCTCCTGCCAATACAAGTATAGGGAGGGTCATAACCTTCAGCAAGAAAAGAAATTGAACCTTGGTCATACGGGTCATGAAGGATTAACCATGGTGTGTTGCCAATGCTTGCTCTCCTTATGAACAATTGAGAAAATTATAGACAATAAATCTTATAACTTGCCAAATGAATATTCTGGGAAATTGTCTGGCGAATGTATCAAAAACAAATCAATTACTTTGAATATTTTTTATAATTACAATTCTAGAATCATTCATGATATAATATAACAAGTGGATTCTTCGAGCTGATCCATCACCTATTCATTGAAGATGGAGAGATCTTGGCAAGGGTTTTTTATTCAGAATCAGTAAGCAAAAATGGAAGGGGAAAATGTATATCATTTCCTAAAAATTGATACATATTTCTATGAGCAAAATAAAACACATCATTCTTTGGTGCACACATCAAGAATGAACCATTTTGTACTTATGAATTTTATAGGCATCTCATTTGGAATGCCCATTTTTTCCCCTGATCATGGATTCTCAATTCCCTTGTGAAGCAGGACAGAATTCCGGGTTTTTTACAGAAAACAAATAAAGTGGTCCGTCCATATGAGGATGCAGGCACATTTCATAGAACTTCTTTTATTATAAAAGTTGGCATGTACACATAACAAAGAGGATCCTGGTACAATGTCTGGTTACCAAGGTAATTAGAGAGTTAGATCAAGATTTCAGTGAGTAATAGGTACAAAAAGACTGCAGCAAATGAAATTGCAAAGCAGGGAAAAGATATCAAATAGAGCAGCACATTGGAATGAATAAGGACAGAATTTTGGAAGAGTAATGTTTTTGTAAAAACAGGAACAAAAGATGTTTCTGAAGATTGCCATACGCTAATTGTTTGCTATGGTGGAAAATACTTCATATTCCTACGGGTACGTTGTTTGAACAACTTGCATTTTTAATGAAACCAGCCCTCACAGAAAGTTGTCTGTGTATTTTGTGGAAATTTCAAATCAACTTGTATGATTCGTGTACAAAGTTCTGTTAGATAGGAGATACTAAAATTATTTGATGACATAGCAGGTGTGGTGTCCACTGACAAGGATATCATATGAAGAGATAAGGGAGCCAAAGTGGATGTCAAGCAAGACGAAAGATTATCAACGAGTTTGAAGTATCAATTGCAAAGTGAATCACCTAGCTGGTATGATCAATGGGTTCTGCTGACTTTTTGAACATAATCAGGGAAGGATAAATAAAAGGTGGGTTTAAAACATTGACTAACCGACTGAATGTGTGCGATTGTGGATTTGGTGTTTTTGCCTAATTTGGCTTGGTCGCTACATATAGCACACCTTCATCAGCCCAGGTTTAGAGTTTCTATTGCCGTGATGGTTATGTTGCCTTGTCGAATTCTTCTTTGTCCTTCTTATCCACCAAGTATATCTGTCTTGTTAATTTTTTACACAGTCCTTATTAAATGTCAGAAAGGAATCAAAAGATCAGAAAGATTTTTAAGGCTACCAAAAGACAATATTAAGAACAACCGATCTGAATTGCAAGAGATATATGAAAACAAGATCTACTTTCACTCATCAAACAAAAATGCAGAAGCACTAATTGCGATAATATCGGTACATTGGGTACTTCGACTTGGTTTCTAAAGCTACCACTTCACCAAAGATCACATTTGTATATGTCATTTTCCAGGATATTCTTCAAATTCGCATGAATTATATGTTCCTCACAAAGCTAAAGTATCTGGGCGACTAGAGTTACCGTCGCCGGAGGCGTCACGCTCTCAAACAACACGGCGTCGGGATTATCAGCGAGAACGGGCGATTTGGTCCAGAGGCAGGTCATCCCGCACCGGCACGGGTAAAGATCATCCATGCTGTCCGGGATCCAAGTCCACCCCTTGACGAGCACGCTGACGTGGCTCATCCTTGCTGCAGCGCACTCGTCGTTGTCGTCGTCGGGCCGTATCGCGGAGGCGTTGGTCGCCCATCCAGCGTGCTTCTCCCGGAACCAAGCGCAGCCCACCTCGGCGTCCCACAGCTCAAACGCAGCGACGAGATCGGTGAAGGCCGCTTTGGGGCCCCTGGGCCGGACGGAGGTGGAGATCGGTACGGGGGAGGAGAGGGAGGGGAGGTCGAGGTAGTGGGAGAAGAGGAGGAGGAGGAGGATGGCGGTGGCAAGCATGGGCACTATGTAGTTGATGAGCTTCAAGGGCAGCAACATATGGCTTAGCCGAGGAGAAGAGAGACGGAGGCGTGGGAGAGGGAGGAGGAATTATTATTCCCAACAATTAATGGGTACTTAACGTTTGGCGTTATTAATTTCATAATGTTTGATGGAAATTGGATGACCCACGAGATCGTTATGATCTTGAAAGTGTGTTCTTCAATTTCTACCCTCACAAAATTCTCAAATGACATACCAATTTTAGACCCTATGTGTTTCTGATATCTATCTATGATGAGGCTGAAGACCCCAAGTAGAAGGAGATACACCTGTTAGAATTTTAAGGATGTATAATTAAATATATTAAGTTATTGTTTTGATTAGTCAAAATTAAAATAATTTAATTAAAATAATATTATTTGATTAAGGAGTATAATTATTATGAAAATTAATTGTGTGGATACCATTTTAAGCTATTTCTATAAATTAGGAATATAAAACATTTTAAGCTATTTCTAATATGACGACGAGATAAATTAGGAATATAAAACATTTTAAGCTATTTCTATAAATACGGTTATGGTTCTCGATTGTAATAACAACAACCTTATTTATAAAAATGGTCAAGATATTTCATATTCTTAACTTATCTTGTCGATATGAAAGTTTAATTCAGTTTAATTCATCAATTAAACCAAAATACTCTGATGGATTCATCAGATACGTTTCAATGTTAATATGTTTTATAATTGTTGTAGAATTTTATATATATTATTATAGTTCTAATAAGTTTTTATGAAAATATTTTAAAATTTGGTTTTGGTTCTATAAAATATGTTTGATTCATATTTGATGTGTTAAATTTCTCAACATGTGGTTTCAGAGCTTTCTTACAATGATTACTGTACATCTCGACTTATTTTTTTTATGTATTTAAATGGTGCTTTTCATCCGTATTTTAGCTATGGTTTTATTGTCGTCGATGATAATTTTATATAATTACACATGTAGCATCTTTCACAATTTGAGATTTTTTTTTTATGTCTTTTCCTCTTCAACACAACACATGGTATTAGAGCTCCTATTGTTGTTCATTTTCATGCTGCATAAACCTCCTTGCTGTAGTGTATCTTCCAATTTATTATTATAATTATTATTATTTTTAATTACCTTTGGATTTTATCTATACAAATTTAATAATTGGTTTAAACATAATATTGGTTCTATAAAGTTGATTGTTAAGTTAAACCAATTTGATTAATATGGTTCAAATTTAATTAGTGATTATAAAATTATTTAATATTAGATTGAGTATTTTGATGCATGAAGTTAACAAAGTGACCTCTCATGTGTGGTATTTCTTATTAAAATATTAAATATAATATGTATTTATATCCATACGAAAATTATTTGGCTCAAAAGAAGTTAATGATCAGTAGGATTCTATACACACCTATAATGATAAACATGTGATAATTATAAAGTTGTACATGTGAATAATAAATCAATCCAAAGATTGATTTATCATTTGACATATCTTATTATTAGTGTTTGATCATTACCTACAACTAGCAATTAATATTGAAGTCCAAAGATAATATATTAATATTGCACTTGCTATCTTGAGATGGGTTATATCATTATTTGAATTCACTTAAGTTTATGGTAATATATATGAGCATAATTTATGGTTGTATATTATTCTCTTATTTAGGTCTCTTACAACAATATCTACTAACCTCAATTTAGTATCGGTTCTAAATGGAATCAACTTTAAGGATTGGAAGGAAAACATTATGATCGTTTTGGGCTGCATGGATCTGGACTTTACACTAAGCGAAGACCAACTCGCTTCTCTTATGGAAAATAGTACTCATGATGAAAGGAGACCATATGAGAAGTGGGACAGGTCTAATCGTATGAGTCTCATGATCATTAAGCGTGAGATTCCGAAAGCCTTTAGGGGTGCAATATCTGAAGAGATTACTAAGGCCAAAGATTTTCTTACTGAAATAGAAAAGCATTTTCTTAAAAATGATAAGACGGAAACAAGCACTAAAGTTTGTTTTCCATGAGGTATAATGACAAAGGAAATATAAGGGAGTACATCATGGAGATGTCTAATCTTACTTCAAAGCTTGAAGCATTAAAGCTTAGCTTATCAGAGGACTTGTCCATTTGGTTCTGATATCTCTCCCTACACAATTCAATCAGTTTAAGGTCAGTTATAACTGTCAAAAGGATAAATGGTCTCTTAATGAGCTCATTTCATATTGTGTGTAAGAAGAAGAAAGGCTGAAGCAAGAAAAGACTGAAAGTGTCAACTTGGCTAACACCTCTAAAGATAAGGGCAAGAAAAAAAAATATAAATATAGAAATAATGAGGCTGATAAGGGTCTAGTATAGAAAAAATAAAATAAGGATGATACTTGTTTCTTCTACAAGAAATCTAGGCATTTGAAGAATGATGCCAAATATCATACTTGGGGTGCTAAAAAGGGTACGTCTCTTACTTTGGTTTATTTTGAAGTCAATTTAATTTTAGTACCTAGAAACACTTTATGGTTAGACTTTGGTACAACTACTAACATCAGTGTTTCAATGTAGGGTTGCTTGAGCTATTGAAGGCCCAATGATGTTGAGAGATTCATTTATGTAGGGGATAAAAAATTAGTAGATGTGAAAGTTATAGGCATATTTAGATTGTTATTATATACTGAATATTATTTAGATTTGAAAGATATTTTTGTTGTATTGTCATTTAGATGTAATTTAATTTTTGTTTCTTATTTGAACAAATATGGTTATTCTTGTTCATTTAGAAACAATCAGTTTACTTTGTCTTTAAATTCAAATGTGATTGGAACTAGTTTACTTATGGCTTATGACAATCTATATTTACTTGATACTATAGCATCCTATCATGAATCCCTGAATGCGGAATTATGTAGTACCAAGTATAAAATAAAAAATTTGGGTGTATTATAGCACAAATGTTTGGGTCACATCTCTAGAAATATAGTTGAAAGACATATATCAGAAGAGATTATTGATCCCATTGACTTATAAGGTTTAAATGTTTGTGTTGAATGCATTAAAGGTAAATAAACCAAACCTAAGAGATCATGTGCATATAGAGCTACGAACATCTTAGAATTGATACATATAGATATTTGTGGGTCATTTCCTACATCTTCATGGAATGATCAATAATACTTTATATTATTCATAGACGATTACTCTAGATATAGATACTTGTATCTAATACATGAAAAATCTCAGTCTTTGGATGTGTTCAAATCATTTAAAATTGAAGTTGAAAATCAACTCAGCAAAAGGATAAAAAGTGTCAGATCTAATTGTGGAGGAGAATATTATGGTAGAAATGACGGCTAAAATGAATTACGTTCAGGACCATTTGTTTTATACATAGAGGAATGTAGAATTGTCCCTCAGTATATAATGCTAGGGTCACCTAGCATGAATGGTGTAGCTGAAAGATGAAATCGCACACTTAAGGACATGGTAAAAAGTATGATTCCTCAATCTATTTTGCCAAAGTCATTTTGAGGAGAAGCAATAAAGACTGTAGCTTACATTTTTAATAGAATACCAACTAAAGTAACTATAAAAATACCTTATGAGCTTTAGACTAGGAGAAAACCTAGTCTAAGACACTTTTGTATATGAGGTTGTCCAGTTGAGGCAAGGCCTTATAAGCCTAATGAAAAGAAATTTGAACCCTGAATAGTGAGTAGTTACTTTATTGGTTATTCTAAGCGATCTAAGGGGTATAAATTTGAGCGATCTAATATGATTTTTGAGACGAGTATTGCTACATTCTTTGAGGATATTGAGTTTGGGGGGGGGGGGGGAGAAATAAGGTTAAAAGATTTTACTTTTGAAGAAGAATTGGTTCAGTTTGATCTAATTCATATAGTTTCCACTAATGTGGCAAATTCAGTACCTCAAAAGGATATAGTCATTTCAACTCCCATATAGTACGAGGAGATTATTCATGAGGAGAAAACTCAACATCTTTAAGAACTCATGCCATAAAAGCTAGCACCTTTGCGATAATCCACTAGGGAAAGGAGGAGTGTAATTTCAAATGATTATATGATATTTCTCCAGAACCATGAAGCAAGTAATGGTATAATGGAAGATGAACCAATCAACTTCCGTTAAGCCATGGAGGATTCCAATTTGGATAAGTGGATCTAAATAATGAATCAGGAGTATAAGTCCATGCAAGATAATAAAGTTTAGGAATTTATTCTGTTACCAGAAGGTGTGAAACCCATTGGTTATAAATGGATTTTTAAAACCAAAAGGGATTCTAATGGTAATGTATAGAGGTATAAGACATATCTTGTGGCAAAAGGCAATACTCAAAAGGAAGGGATTGACTTTAAAGAGACATTCTCTCTGATTTCAATGAATGACTCTTTTAGGATAATTATAGCTCTAGCCGTACATTTTGATTTGAAGCTTATCAGATGTTAAAATAACTTTTCTAAATGGAAACATTGATAAAATGATTTATATGGTATAATCAGAAAATTTTGTGTCAAGAGACCCAAAGAAAATAGTTTATAAATTGATAAAATCTATCTATAGGCTAAAACAGGCATCCCGTCAGTGGTTTCACAAATTTCATCAGTAATTATCTTATTAGGTTTGAGGTGAATGTTGTTGATGATTGCGTGTTTCACAAATTCAATAGGAGCAAATTCATTTTCTTGATATTGTATGTGGGTGATATTCTGCTTGCCACAAATGATATAAGCATATTACACAAAACCAAGATATTTCTATCCAAAAATTTTAAGATAAAATATCTTGGGGACACCTCTTTTGTATTAGGAATCCAGATATACCGAGATAGATCTCTGGGTATTATAAGATCATCACAAAGGAGTTATATCGATAAGGTACTCAAAATGTTTGGTATGTAGGATTGCAAACTAGGAGACACCCCTATCATAAAGGGAGACAAGTTTAGTCTCAATCAGTGTCCTAAAGGAAATCTGGAAACTCAAGAAATGCAGAAGATTCCCTATGCATCAACTATAGGGAGTCTAATGTATGAACAGGTT